CATCCCATCAATCACCACCAGATCTTCATTAAAGGTAAGTGTCAATCATTCTATTGTTATTAATCTATTGTTATTGTTGTTATTGTAATTATTCTATTGCATTAAACTTAATATTTCATGTGGTAAAATTTTTTTTTCATACTTTTGGGTGTCTTGCACGGATTAATTTGATTTCCATTACATATTTCTTAAGGGGAAAATTAATTCGACTTTCGATATTTTCGACATTTGATGAGCTCTCAGGAACGGATTAATATCGAATGTCGAGGGTCCACTGTATAGTTCCTATATATAAAGGGAAGGGGGACAAAATAGATTGTAAAAATTATAGGGAAATAAGTTTACCGAGTATACCAGGAAAAGTGTACGGTAGGGTTATCATTGAAAGAATTAGAGGTAAGACAGAGTAGGTTTGCGTATGAGCAAGGAGGCTTTAGAGTAGGTAAGGGATGTGTAGATCAAGTGTTTACATTGAAACATATGTGTGAACAGTATTTAGATAAAGGTAGGGAAGTTTTCATTGCATTTATGGATTTAGAAAAGGCATATGATAAAGTGGATAGGGGACCAATGTGGCAGATGTTGCAAGTACAATATATGGAATAGGTAGTAAGTTACTAAATGCTGTAAAGAGTTTTTATGAGGTTAGTGAGGTTAGGGTATACAGAAGAGAGGGAGATGACTTCCCAGTAAAAGTAGGTCTTAGACAGGGATGTGTAATGTCACCATGGTAAATATATATATAGATGGGGTTGTAAAAGAAGAAAATGCTAGGGTGTTGAGGAGAGGGGTGGGATTAAATTATGGGGAATCAAATACAAAATGGGAGGTAACACAGTTACTTTTTGCTGATGATACGGTGCTTATGAGAGATTCTAAAGAAAAGTTGCAAAGGTTAGTGGACAAGTTTGGGAGGGTGTGTAAAGGTAGAAAGTTGAAAGTGAACATGGATAAGAGTAAGGTGATGAGGGTATCAAATGATTCAGATAAAAAAAATTGGGTATCACATTGGAGAGAAAGAGTATGGAAGAAGTGAATGTTTTTAGATATTTGGGAGTGGACGTGTCATCAGATAGGTTTATGAAGGATGAGGCTAACCATAGAATTGATAAAGGAAAAAAGGTGAGTAGTGCATTGAGGTATATGTGGAGACAAAAAAAGTTATCTTTGGAGGCAAAGAAGGGAATGTATGAAAGTATAGTGGTACCAACTCTCTTATATGGGTGTGAAGCTTGGGTTGTAAATGCTGCAGCAAGGAGGTGGTTGGAGGCAGTGGAGATGTCCTGTCTAAGGGCAATGTGTGGTGAAATATGCAGAAAATTTGGATTGTGGAAATTACGAGAAGGTGTGGAGTTAATAAAAGTATTAGTCAGAGGGCTGAAGAGGGGTTGTTAAGGTCGTTTGGTTATTTAGAGAGAATGAATCAAAGTAGAAAGGCATGGAGAGAGTATAAATCTGTAGGAGAAGGAAGGCAAGGTAGGAGTTGTCCTCGAAAAGTTGGGGGAGGGGGTAAAAGAGATTTTGTGGGTGAAGGACTTGGACTTCCAGCAAGTGTGCGTGAGCATATTAGATAGGAGTGAATAGAGACGAATGGTTTTTGGGACCTGATGAGCTGTTGGAGTGTGAGCAGGGTAATATTTAGTGAAGGAATTCAGGGAAACCAGTTATTTTTATATTGCCAGACTTATTTTATTTTATTATCATACTGGCCGATTCCCACCAAGGCAGGGTGGCCCGAAAAAGAAAAACTTTCACCATCATTCACTCCATCACTGTCTTGCCAGAAGGGTGCTTTACACTACAGTTTTTAAACTGCAACATTAACACCCCTCCTTCAGAGTGCAGGCACTGTACTTCCCGGACTTGAGTACTGGAAATGGGAAGTACAATGCCTGCACTTTAACCCTTAAAACTGTCCAAACAGATCTACGTTCACATGCGTAATGCTCCAAAAGTAGATCTACATTTTTTTACATACAGGAAGGCCCCACTTATACGGCGGGTTAGGTTCCAGGCTACCGCCGTAAACCGGAAACCGCTGTAAAGTGGAACACCCTTTTTTTCCACTTACAAATGCATACAAACACTAGATAACAAGTTTACACTAACATATATTAAGTTAGCAATAGAACCAGGCATCAAAAAACAATAAAAAAGTACAATACACACATAGCGCACTCATTACTTACCTTAAAATATTTATAGTCTTAATCTAGGGTGAGACAAGTAGTATTTATTGTAAGAAATCAAGTGTGGTATGTATGGTAGTCAGCCAGACCAGGCCACCCCACCCACACATACAATTCTATGATATTTAAGCATCCCAGAGCGATAAAATGTATATACAGTTCACTCATTACTTACCTTAAAATATAGGGTGAGACAAGTAGTATTTATTGTAAGAAATCAAGTGTGGTATGCATGGTAGTCAGCCGGGCTACCATACCAGGCCAACCCACCTACACATAATATTCTATTACATTTAAGCATCCCAAAGTGATAAAATGTATATACAGTTCACTCATTACTTACCTTAAAATATTTGTAGTCTTAATGTAGGGTCAGATAAAACGAATAAATGAGAGAGAGAAAGAATGAGTGCATGAGAGAGGACAGGCGTAGAGTTATGTAAACAAACCAGGCGAAGGTAAGTTTTGTAAACGAAGTGTACAGGTCTGGTTTGTGTACAAGTTACATTGTGTACAGGTTGTCTCTACATTGATACGGTAGAATAAATAAAGAAGAACACTCCCATTCTCATGTAACATCATTTTGAGAAGAAATGATGCTCTGAGTGAAGGCAATGGAAATAAGTCACTTTTTTGGGTTATCCTAGGTTCTCTACACATATGTTGTTATGTATGATAATCTATGTAACTGTATTTGTGTATACCTGAATAAACTTACTTACATACATACGAAAGGAATAATTTTCTACAATTACCCCCAGTAACACATTTTCTCTTATGTTAGATTAGAGAAAATGTTATTCTTGGCATCACTTGTACAAGTTATCTGGCTACCACATCTCATATTTACGTTTATTTATTCTATTGTAGGGTGTATCTATCATCTTTTTATGTTATGTATCGTGTTTATTATATAATTTTGAAAAAAATATCATGGATGGATTAATGAAAATGTGTATATTAACGTAATATACAACATTTAATGAGACTCGGTGATTATTATTATTATTATTATTATTAGCATTTCTAATATGGCATCACTTGTGCAAGTCATCTGCTACCACATCTCATATTTATGTTTATTTATTCTATTGTGGGGTGTATTTATCATCTTTTTATGTTATGTATCGTGTTTATTATATAATTTTGAAAAAATATCATAGATGGATTAATGAAAATGTGTATTTAACGTAATATATATGACATTTAAATGAGACTCGATGATTATTATTATCATTACTAATATGACGTCTGGAGACATAAGACACTCTTACTGATTTTAATGTGTACCTGCACGCCAGCACAGTATGTAAGTTTATTTAAGTACAGGTATACATAAGTATAATTATCAGAGTATATATAAAATATGAAATAACTTTTAAAAACATTTGAAATTTTGGAGTTTCCAGACAAAATGGAGAGACTTAGTGCTTACTGAGCTCATGAAGAATGTAAACAAACAAGGTGGGGCGCGGTGACCGTATTAGAAAGTCAGGTGGGGGGAGCCGTATAGCGAGTTTTGGTCATAATTTGAAATGACAGTATTAGCGGAACGCCGTAAAGTGAAACGCCATAAAGCGGGGCCCTGCTGTATTTTCAAATACAACAGAAAAAAAAAAGTAGATCAAACTTCTTTTTACATACTTTCAAATGTTGAAAAAACGTAGATCTACATTTGGACAGTTTAAGGGTTAAAGGAGGGGTTTGGGATATTGGCAGTTTGGAGGGATATGTTACATATCTTTATATATGCTTCTAAACTGTTGTATAGGGCACCTCTGCAAAAACAGTCATTATGTATGAGTGAGGTGAGTGTTGAATGATGATGAAAGTATTTTCTTTTTGGGGATTTTTTCTTTTTGGGGATTTTTCTTTTTGGGTCACCCTGCCTCAGTGGCAGACAGCCGACTTGTTGAAAAAAAAAAATTATTATACTATTATTATTATACGTATTATTATTATTTTTATTACAATATAAATAATTTGTAATTTTTATTCACAAAAAATAGAAGACTTACTGTTATGCAGACTACTGCATTATTGTAATAATTGTATAAATAATGTCAACCCATTCATGACCGCATATTGAAATGGACAGTAACGTCATTGGTTTACTCTTGAACAGCGCCAAAGAGTTAACATTTCTGCTACTTTGGGCTCCATTTCAAAGTACTTTTTGTTGTGAAACCAAACAAAATCATATCTATTTCTGTAATATATCTTCCATTCCATCAAATGAGACCCAAAAAAAAAAAAAAAAAAAACAGAATACAACCATAAAAACCATAAGAAAATACCACTAAGGGGTGGCTAATGGCTGAGAAGTAAGCTCCATTATTTATTGTCCGATTTCTTTCATTTTTGGTGTACATTAAGAAGCATCTTTCCGTCATAAACTGCCCAAGTTTCAATAAGATAGATCAACAAACAAGCGAGATCCAATTCCCTAGATCAAGAGCAAGAGCCCCTCACCAGCGTTAAGGAACCTCGCTGGAGGCCCACTCGCTTATGGAAATTTTGCTCGTGTATGGAAGCAAAAAATTGACTGAGTGACTGCTCATATTTGGAAAAACTCACACGTGGATGTGCTCGCAAGTGGAGGTTCCACTGTATTTTAATTTTTAATTTTATGTTAAGTAGGAGTGTACTAAGCTATCGATTGATATCAGCTAATTTTGATGGTACTGTATCAGTATCAGCCTAAAATCAAGTAATGGTATTGGCAAAAATTTTGCTCTCATCCCATCACTAGTATGAAGTACTGTCAACTTTAGAATCCTGTTCTGTTTTGTTTTTATTAATCATTCTTACCAATATATCAGTCAGAATCTTATAATCTTGGAGTGTGTTGTTCTCATCATAGCGTGTAACTAGGCCAACCGCTACCCCAGCTGCTGGTGAAGATATGGTGACACCTGCATCCATTAGAGCCAGGCTACCACCACATACAGTTGCCATAGAGGATGAACCTGTAGGAGAGAAAATCAGTATTAGAGGGATATTAACCTGAGGTGTGGGGTTAAAAGATAAAGAATCTAACACAAAGTGGGAGTTGTCACAGTTGCTCTTTGCTGATGACACTGTGCTTTTGGGAGATTTTGAAGAGAAGTTACAGAGGTTGGTGGATCAGTTTGGTAGGGTATGTAAAAGAAGAAAATTAAAAGTGAATATAGGAAAGAGCAGTGGTGGGCACAGTTCCGCTAATCCGCTAACTGCTAATTGGCGGAACTAACTTTTTGTATAGTGGATTAGCGTTTCCACTAACTTCGGAAACCGTTAGCGGACCAATTAGCTTCGGCCAAATAAAGTTCCGCTAACTCTGAGTCCACTAAAAAACAATTCATACACTGTTGGTAGTCGGAAAGCAATGCCTTTTCAATGGCGCACATGTCCTGTGTGTTGTGGGCGTTTCTCCAACAGTCAGGCATGCTATTGGCTGACTACTTGTAAACGTGACTTGTCAACGCAGCAGCAGCAACATCTGAGCAGCATTGTTTTGGTGATACCGACAAGATGTATAAAAAGACACTTATGTACAATTCAGGACATTTATTAAAGGAAACATTTTGCCACGAGTGGCTTCTTCAGTCCTAATACAGAGAAAACTAAGAAAACAAGTACAGTGGACCCTCGGTTATTGGCTGTAATCCATTCCAGAAGGTTGGCCGATAACCGAAATGGCCGAAAACCGAATAAATATTTCCCATAAGAATTAATGGAAATACAATTAATCAGTTCCAGACAAAAATATTCACAAAAAAAATAATTTTATAACAATTATGTAAGTTTTTCATAGCTTTATTGAAGGCTAATACTGGTTTCTGGAAGATAGGGAAGAGGAAAGAGGGAGGAGTTAGTGTTTGGAAGGGGAATCCCCCTCCATAAAGACTTTAGGTAGTAAAGCCTTCTCTGGGGTTACTTCTCTTCTCTGTCTTTTAATACTACTAGGACCAGCTTGAGAGTCACTGGACCCCTGTCTCACAACAAATCTGTCCACAGAGGTCTGTTTCTGGCATCTAAGATTTCCCTGAAGTGGGACAGGGTTTTGTCACTGAACATGTTGCAGATATGGCTTGTTTCAGCTTGGTCAGGGTGGTGTTTCTCTACAAAAGCTTGCACCCTAGTCCACTTTGCACACACCTCTTTAATCTGTCATTTACTGCTACAGTACATTCATTACTAACCTTAAAATATTTGTAGTCTTAATGTAGGGCAAGAGGTGAGTAGTATTTATTTGTAGGAAGTATGTAAGTGTAGGTAGCGGTAGATGTGGGTACAGTACACGTATGTAGCCCTTCCCCCTGGTCTACACTACACAGCTATGTTACAATACACAGCCATATTATTACACTACACAGCCATATTATTACACTACACAGCCATATTATTACACTACACAGCCATATTATTACCATGTTCACTGAGTTTAATCGTTTCTAACAACTACCTTTAGATGCCATCATAAGCAAAGGGAGAAATAATGAATAATTCATGCCAAGAATTGTAAACAAATGCATATGAAGGGCAGTTACTGCACCAGTCGCCAGATTCACAGTTTTCTCTAATTTATTTATTTATTTATTTATTTATTTATTTAGTAATTTGAGCATACATACAGAGGTACAAAAAAATACAGGTAAGAGCAGCATGCCAAAGCCACTTATATGCATAGCATTAAAGGCTGGCTTAAAATTAACTTAAGATTAACTAAGCAATGATGAAATCAGTGATAAGACATTATTGTAAACAGATAACTATAAAGCACAAATGAGTATTACAAAGACAGGTCATATGGTTGCATGCATTGCTGTACATTCAGTCGAATGGAGTATTCTGTTAGATTGGGTTTTAGTTTAAACATTTATGTGATATAATTGTGAGAAACATTTAAGATATACAATTTAAAAGGGTTCAGTTATTCAGTATTTATTTGGTTTTGGTGAGTAAGTGATCTTTGAGAAGAGACTTGAATTTATAAACAGGAAGTTTTCTTTTATATTTACGGGTAATGAATTCCAGTTTTTAGGGCCTTTTATTGCATTGATTTTTGCATAGCGTGAGAGGGACACGAGGAACATCAAAGAGTGATCTTGCCTTGTGTTAGGTCATGTGTTCTGTTGGGGTTTGGGAAAGGAGATGTTTGAGGGGAGGGTTAATATTAGAGTTAACGTTCTATGTATGTAATAGGTGCAATAATAAGTATGGATGTTTTGTATGGTGAGTTTGGGTTTCGTGTTTTTTAATATTGGTGGAGTTTTGCTGCCTGTATGAGAATTTGTTATCATTTCAACTGCAGCCTTTTGTTGGGTAATTAGTGGTCTGAATGGTTAATTGTTGTTTTAGCCCCATGCACAAATTCCATAGGTGAGATAGAGTAAATAAGAGAGTGATATAGGGCCAGGAGGGCTGACTGTGGGGCATAGTACCCTATCTTTAATAGTATGCCTACAGTCTTGGAAATTTTCTTAGAAATTTGTTGTATATGTGTAATGAAATTTGAGTCTATTATCAAAGGGGGATTCCTAAGAATTTTCCCTCTGTAGCTTTGTGATAGGTGATTTCCCTTTATCATTATTTAAAGAGGGGCATCTGTAGCTCTGTGACCAAACTGAATGAAGTAGGTTTTGTCAATGTTTAGTGTAAGTTTTGTTAGTCCTCATCCAGGTAGATATTTTCTGTAATTCGTATTAACATATTGGCTACGTGACTGGGCTCGGGTGAGAGAAGACGTAGTAGTGTCATCTGCAAAAAGTGTGGGTTTGAGTAATTGCGAAGCATTTGGTAGGGCATTTATGTATAGGAGAAAGAGAAGAGGGCCAAGGACACTTCCCGTGGACACCAACTGTAATTTTTTTGTGCGGAAGGCTTGCCCCATTTGCGTACACATGTTGGCTTCTGTTCTGAGGTATACTTTAGGTAGTTGAGGGAGTGCCCCCTTATACCACAGTGTGACAATTTTACGTGGAGAAAGTCATGGTCAACTGTATCAAAAGCTTTACGTAAGTCAATGGGAAAATCCCCATGGGACTTTTTTTTTCTCTATTGCAGTGTAATATTTCTAGCATGTGTATAATAGCATCATTAGTAATTTTTATTAGGCCTGAATCCAAATTGGCAGGGTTGAGTATGTTTTGGGAGATGAGGTAGGAGTAGATTCGTTTATAATTAATTTTTCGAAGATTTTTTAGAGAGGGTGTAAATTGGATATTGCCTATAGTTTTTTCAACTCTGTTTGGTCCCCCTCCTTTAATGGATCGGGGTGACCCTTGCTATTTTGAAACTGTAGGGAAGGTGGAGGATTCAATGGATTTGTTAAAGAGTGTTGCAATGAATTGGTGATAGCACTTGTGACACTTTTTTATAATAAAGGTGGTAAGGTATTTAAATCTCCTGCCTTGTTTTAGTGCGTTTATAAAAAGGGAGACTTCGTATGGTTAGTCGGAGGCTAGGAACAGTGTGTTCGGTAGTTGCCAGTGAGGTAGTCATTTGTGGGGTATCTGAGCTTGGGGTTTTATTGGCAAGGTTTTGTCCTATAGTGGGGAAGTAATCATTTAGTCTGTTTGCTGTTTCCCGTGGTGGGAGTTGGGTTTTATCTGATTCGCTAATTTTATTTCGCTATTTCGTGATATCTTTTTTGTTCCCAAAATTTCGATAGGGTTTTCCGGTCTTTTTTATATCACCTCGTAAGTTGAATAATCTGTTCTCATAATACAATTTTTTTGCCCTTTTTTATCAGGCGGTTAGGATAGACATAACGTCTTGTTTGGTCTCTGGTTATGTGACCCAAATTTTGTACTGTTTTTCATATCGGGGTTTTGTATTATGGATTTAAGAATGCTGGGGGTTAGCCAGGACTGTTCAGTCTCTTAGCTGTATCTGTTTAGTTTTTTAGGGCAGTGCTTGTTATAGAGGTATTTGGGTCTTTTTTAGAAAATTATTAAAACATTCGTCAATATCTGTATAGATTTCTAGCTCAGTGTGCCAGTCAATGTTTGTACTGCGTTGTGAAGTTATTAATGGCTACCTCATTGTGAAGTCTGAAGGTGACTTTAGTAGTGTCTTGGGGTAATTTTCCAAGAGTTGTTTTTGGAGGAAAGTAGGGTAGTGGTCTGTGGTATTATCTGTAATTATGCCTGATTGTAAAGGGATATGGTGTTGGTCCAGATGTGTCAAGTAGGGAAACACTAGTCTCCGTAACTCTTGTAGGTTTTGTTACTGTTGGAGCAACATGCAGTTTACCCCATTGTGTTTGTGAATTCAGTAACGTGTGGGTCCTGGTCTTGCAGCAGATTTATACTGAAGTCACCTGAAGTATTAAGTGATCTTTGTTTGTTGCGTGCATCAGTTATCATACTTCCTAGGTTTTGACTAAATTGGGGTAATGTTTGACTGTGGGAAATCTGTAGATGTTTATCACTGTGAGAGGTTTTTGTAGGTATTTGATTTGAATTTACTATTATATATTCCCCCCTGTTCATCCCTTGTGCAAGTATTAGTGATACATTCTACTGGTCTGAGTAGTATATAGCTTTGGCCACCCCCTTTTTTGATCTTCCTACTTTGTGTAGGCTGTGAACCAGGAATGGCATAGACATCTGTAGTATCAGCTTTAGCCAGGTTTCAGTTAGTGTAAAAGATGGACATATTGGCATGCAAGAATTTAGTAATGCTATGAGGTCATCGTAATGCTTGCTTAAAGATCTATATTGTAGTTAAAGACAGTTATGTTTTTGTTGGCTCTGAGAAGTGCCTTTGATTTTTTCTGCTGCGTAGTAATTACAGTAACTGTTTGATTCATTTAAGTCATTCAATAAGAGGGTTTGGTATCAGGATCAATGCTTGTAACAAAAAAATTTGTAGTGAATCTATAGTTAAATTAAGTAAAAACAAAGTAAATATTCTAAAGTTAAAAAATAGCACCTGAAATTTTTAACAAATGTAAAAATAATGACTAAGGTAGTTTTTTTAA